TCTCTCTCTCTGTCAAATAAATAAATAAATAATCTTTTTAAAAATTTTTTTAAAAAAGATATGAAATAATTGTAGAGTGTCGCCAATTATTTAATATTGTTGTGTCATGCAGTCCTTCAATCAATGTGTACTAAAAGTGCAAGGACCAGCATGTGAGAAGTCATAAAATTTTCTTTGTCACTTATTTTGTGTCTTTATGCTCGTAAAAAAAGGTCTAAAGGACACACTCCCAGCCAACAGTGCTCACTCTGGAGAATGTACACCATCCTTGCTTATGACTTCCCTGAGAAGGTGATATTTAAGTTGAGTCTTGATGGATGAATAGGATTTTACCAGGCAGAGAAAGAGAGAAACATTTGTGGATATATATATACATTATGTGGCTGGATTAGATCTCAAAATATTAATCTAGTTCGTTCTCTGTATCTGCCCCTCCCGCCCCCCAATGCTTTCTGCCTGACTTTAGGGAGGAGAAAGGACAAAAATCTATAAAGACATGTCTGTTGGCATGATTGCCAAGTGTAAGACAAGCTTGAGAGAAGGATGGGTGAGAGGGGAGAACACGGGCAGAGGGAGGGGTGGAGAGTGGGGAGAGTGGCCCAAACATAAGAGGAAGGAGGAGTCCTCCAAATGGAGCAGAGGAGGACCTCTGTCTCAGGACCTTGGGGTAGAAGTGCTCAGAAGATGAGCTGCTCTCACATGCTGACCAGCTTCACTCATGAGCCCAGGATGTGGATGGCTTGGACTGCTTGGGATGCGATCATTGTACCCTCTAATCTGAGTGGAACTGAACAGAACCAGTAGCAAATGTCCTATTGGGTGGAGCAGCCAATTTTACACAGAAAGATAGAAAGATGGATGGACAGATGGGTGTATAGACAGTGTTTGAAAAGTACACATAGGGGCACCTGGGTGGGTGGCTCAGTTGGTTAAGTGTCCAACTCTTGATTTTGGCTCAGGTCATGATCTCAGGGTTGTGAGATGGTGCCCTGAATCAGGCTCCACGTTCAGCAGGGAGTCTGCTTAAGATTCTCTCTCTCCCTCTGCCCCTCCCCCCTCCCCATGTGCACGCTCACTCTCTCACTCTCTCAAATAAATAAATCTTGACGAGAAGAGAAAAGTACACACAAAGCTATGGGGAGTGGGATTGCGTTGGGGAGCAAGGTTCAAGGGTGGGACTTGCACTCTTTATATATTTATTAACATAAATAAAATACACCTGTTTGCCTTGGGGCACAGTGGTGTGTATTTAGCTGTTGCTACAGAAGAAACCACTCTAAAACTAAGTGACTCAGCACATTTATTTAGCTCAGGATTCTGGGGGTTGACAATTCAGGCTGAGCCCAACTAGGGGGTTGTTCTGATCTCAGCTGAGATTGGATTCTGAGGATTAGCTGAGTGTCAGTTGGGACAACAGGAAAACTGGGCAGAACCAGGATTCGAACTCAGAGACCTCTGGCTTCAGAGTTCCCTTACTGTCACCTGCTCATCCTTCAGCAGGCAGACCCAGGCTTGTTCACATCACAGTGGCCGGGTTCCGAGAGAACAAGCAGAAGCAGGCCAGGCATCCAGGTCTAGCACCAACACACAGTTGGTTCTGCTGCATTCACAAAGCTACCCTGGATTTAAGGGCTGGACAAACAGACTCCTTATTTTGATGAGAGAGTCTCCAAAGTCACATTGCTAAGGGCTAAGGATATAAGAAGGAAGGTCATTCCTGCCATTTTTTGGAAAGAATTTAGCTCAAGATGGTAGAAACAAGGAAAACCAGCAAATCCCTGAGGACTGAGGCAAGAAACTCCTCCTCCTCACATCTGTGAAGTCCTTTTACCCCCACTTTTGCATTCACTCCTCTGATAACCCTTGTATCAGTTACCTATTACTGTATAACACACGGCTCCCAAACTTGTAGCTTTTTTTTTTTAAGATTTTATTTATTTATTTGACAGAAAGAGCGAGATCACAAGTAGGCAGAGCGGCAGGCAGAGGGAAAGGGAGAAGCAGGCTCCCCGCTGAGCAGGGAGCCCGATGTGGGGCTGGATCCCAGGACCCTGGGATCATGACCTGAACCAAAGGCAGACGCTTAACCAACTGAGCCACACAGGTGCCCCTACCAAACTTGTAGTTTAAAGCAATATACATTTATTATCTTATGGTTTCAACAGTGCGCAAGGAGTTTGGTTGGGGGGTTCTAACTCGGAGTCTCTCAGAACGCTACAGTTGAGATGTCAGCCAAAGCTCCACTCATCTGAAGGCTGGACTGGGGCCGGAGGGTCTGCTTCCACAACAGCTCCCTCACATGGCTATTAGTGGGAGACCCCAGTTGCTCACCATGTGCCTCTCCGCAGGCTGCGTGAGTGTCCCCACAACATGACAGCCAGCTTCCTAGAGAGCAAGGTGGCAGCCACAATGTCTCTTCTGACCTGGACCCAGAAGTCACGGGTCAACATGCTACAGTCTATCCACTAAAGGCAAGTCACTAACACAGCCCACGCTAAAGGGAAGGGGAACTGGGCTCCACGTTTTAAGGGGAAGAATACCAAAGGACTTGTGAGCATACATATTTTAAAGATAACAACAATCCACTCTCTGATCACCGAGTATTTTCATCTCTCCCGCATTCAAAGTGTAATCACCCCATCTTGAAATGACTGGATCTGGACCTCAGTGATGAACACTGTCCAGGATCCTTCCCCCTTTTAAATGTTGTCATTCTGGTAGAAAGATTCCTACAGTCCAGAATTTCCAAAGGAGGCATGAGAAGAAGCAAAGATTCTCCTTTCTCTGATGAACCAGTAAAGGATCATTAAGCACTCAGAAGTATAAAGCGACACACAAAATACTTAATAATTGCCAGGGATTATTTGTGAGGAACGGCAGAGAGAAAAGAGATGGGGGAAATGAACGATTTCAAGCCTGCAAAGTGGTTTTGCTCCCAGAGGACCTAAGAAAGACGCTTAAAGTTCAACTCTCTTTGAAGACAAAAAGATTTGAAAGATTCAGAAGCCAGGGACTGGAGGCAGGGGCTCCCCTCACTGGAGAAGGATGTAGGCCAATGTCATTCCCAAAGGGATCTGGGGGCGGGGGGTGAGGAGGCATACTGAATGACTCTAGCTCCCAGTCCCTGTTTGAAAAGAAACTTCTAAAAAACAAAGTGAAAGCAAATGTTTGCCAGAAATATGACAGAACAGGGATTAATATTATTATATTCAAAGATATTGTATAAATACATAAGAAGAAAAAACATTAACCCCTAGTGAAGAAGTGGGCAAAGAACAGGAAGTTCATAAACAGAAAAAAAAAAATGGTTAATAAACAGAAAAATACAAACCTTCACTAACACACGCTAAATTAACAATTAGATCATTTTTTTACCCATGAAATAAGCAGAGGTGTTTCCTCTTAAGAAATGTTGATCAGAGCATGTCATACTTGAGAGGATCTATTTTCCCTGACAGGTATACATCTGTCCAGCCTTTTTTGAAACACATAACAATAGCCATTAAAAGTTCATATCCTGGCTCTGCGGGGTGGCGGGACCGCGGAATCGCAAATATGACTGAAGCTGACGTAAATCCAAAGGCCTACCCCCTCGCAGACGCCCACCTCACCAAGAAACTACTGGACCTTGTTCCGCAGTCATGTAACTACAAGCAGCTTCGGAAAGGAGCCAATGAAGCCACCAAAACCCTCAACAGAGGCATCTCTGAGTTCATCGTGATGGCTGCAGACGCTGAGCCCCTGGAGATCATCCTGCACCTTCCACTGCTATGTGAGGATAAGAATGTGCCCTACGTGTTTGTGCGCTCCAAGCAGGCCCTCGGGCGGGCCTGCGGGGTTTCCAGGTCTGTCATCGCCTGTTCTGTCACCGTCAAAGAAGGCTCACAGCTGAAGCAGCAGATCCAGTCTATTCAGCAGTCCATTGAAAGGCTCTTAGTCTAAACCAGTGGCCTCTGCCCGCCCCCCCGAATCCTCCCCCTGGGGTTGTGTATCATATTGTCTGTATCGTCATGTAGTTTCTCCAGCTACCTTCTCATTAGATTCTAGTACTGAAAAAAAAAAAAGTTCATATCCTTTCGCTGAATAATTCTATCACTTAGAAATTTTTTTAAAGATTTATTTATTTATTTGAGAGACAAAGAGAGAGAGAGAGAGCTCGCAATTGGGGGAAGGGGCAGAGGGAAAGAGAGAAAGAATCTCAAGCAGACTACTTGCTGAGCAAAGAGCCTGACGCGGGGCTCGATTTCAGGACCCTGAGATCATGACCTGAGCCACAATCACGAATCAGCTGCTTAAAGGACTGAGCCACCCAGGCGCCCCTCTATCACTAGAAATTTAACCCAAGAAAATAATTAAAGATAGGAACAAAGATTCATATATAGGAATAGTCATCACAGGATTAATTATAATAGAGAAGAATTAGAAACTACCCAGACATTGAACAAGGAAATGATTAAGTACACTCATTTAATCTACATACAATGAACATATAATGGTACATTCATATAATGAAATACGAGCATTCAAGAGAAGTCATACTTCCCAAAAATATTTAACAGCATGAAGAATTGCTCACAATATAACATCAAATGAAAATATAAGACACAAAACTGAACATGCAATAATACCCATAGGTACAAATATGTAATTTTGGAATACATAATCATGGGTATAGAACAGAACATGGAAGGAGATATATCAGAATGTTAACAGTGAGAGTTTAATCAAGAAAAAAATGTTACAGCTATAAAGGGCTTTTGGATAAAATGTGGGATGCTACAGGAAAGATTAGGCTGAAATCAGATTTCCTTTTAAATTATATGATATAAGCCTTGAGTTCCATTCTGTCTGAATACAACTGCACTTAAAACACTATTCGTCATTTATTCCACACTTACAAAGCACTTTGATGTTTTAAGGTTTCAAGGATATAGAGACAACAAAGTCAGAGGCCCCAGTCTCAAAGACCTTGTTCGCGATCCAGTGGGAGTAGTGGGAGTATACACTAATAATTACAGTAGAATACAGGTGGCCCAATAAAAACCTGAGCAGGGAGTGACTAACTCCCAGCACCCAAGGAGAGCCGGGAAAGTTTCTAGGAGGGACACAGTTAGAATATTCCAATGAGTCTTGAAAGAGCTGTAGAAGTTAGCCAGGTAGACAAAGAGAAGGCAGGAAATTCCACTTAGAGGGAAGTGCATGTCTCTGGTGGGTAAAATAATGCCCCCCCCAAAGATGTCCATGTCCTAATCCCTGGAACCTGTGAATAGGTTCCCTTACGTAGCATAGGGAACTTTGCAGATGTGATAAAGATTAAGGACTTCGAGCTGGAGAGAGTCGCATAGATTATCCAGGTGAGCTCAGTTGGCGTCCTTAAAATCAGGGACTCTTTCCTGAGGTCAGGGGGAGAGGCAACAACACGAGAATGGTCAGAGAGATGCACACGGCCGACCTTAAAGACAGAGAGAGGAAGCCAAGGACCATGCCAGCCTCCAGAAGCTGGCAGAGGTAAGGGAACGGATTCCTCCCCAGAGCTTCCAGAAAGGAAAGCAGAAGAGCTGACACTGTGATTTCAACTCAGTGGAACATGTTTCAGAGTTCTAACCAACAGACGGGCAACATAATAAATTTATGTTGTTTCAAGCCACCAGGTCTGTGATCGTTTGTCACAGCAGCAGTAGAAGACAAATACGCTGTGCAAAGGCGTGGAGATGCAAAGCTGCAATGCACATGGGAGGAACAGACAATGAGATCAGTGTGCACCATGTAATATTTATTGACCACCTGCCAAACATCAGTTCCTCACTTCTGCTCTGTGCGAGACCCAGCGTTCATCCTCTCGGAGCTCGCAGACCAGTAGGAGACACAGACCAGTAATTTTTAAAAAGTGACAGGGGAGCGCCTGGGTGGCTCTGTCTGTTAAGTGTCCAACTCCTGATCTCAGCTCAGGTCTTGATCTCAGGGTTGTGAGTTCAAGTCCTGCATTGGGCTCCACGCTAGGCATGGAGCACACTTTAAAGAAAAAAAAAAAAAAAGCTAACCAAAAAAAAAAAAGTGACAGAGGGTCCTGGGAGGCTCAAGGGAAGGCAAGACCAGTGTGCCTGGGAACTGGTGGTGGCTCCATCAAGAGAAGATCATTGGGTTGGATCTTTCCTGGGAGAAGGGCCTTCTAGGTTGGGGAACAGCATGAGTAAACACACTGAAGATATCTCAGCATATTTGAGGAAGGGCAAGTTGTCCAGGGTAACCAGAACTTGGACAGAGCTAAAGTGTTGGGAGCTCAGGAATGACCAGCTCATGAAGGGCCTTGAATGTTGGGTTAAAGAGTTTGAACTGTGTCCTATAGGGAACAGGATGGGACATCTAATTCTTGGCAAAGAATGAGTGTGTTTCTCTTCTGAATCCCCAACGCACTGGTATTTTCTGGAGATAAGAGGACTTCCAGGTCTGGAGAGCTGGAAGACACTCAGATGGTGCCAAGTCAGGAGGCTGGGAGGCTGGGCCACTGGCAACAGCTCAGCTCACATGTGCCGCCAGGTCTGTCTTCAGGCAGCACTCTCTTTCCATGGGACCTTCCTGAAAGGCAACGCAGAGACTGAAGCCTCCTCCTGCCCTTGCCTCCAGGCCAGCCTAGCGCCATGGGAGGAAGAAGTTTATCTCATACTTGTGCACACCTCTCCTATGGATGACACTTATCTGTGGAACGCAGAGGACCACTGGGGTCTGTGTCAGAGGTTGGTCCAATGCTCTCCAAGTTCATATCCTCTTCCTAGGCTCATAGCCCAGCTCCCTTTCCCAGCCCCTCAGCACCTACATGGGGCCAACTTATTGTCACCAATGGAATGTGAGCAGAAATGAGGTGCCCCTTCCAGGACAAGGCAATTAAGGATGAGAGTGTCCCCTCCTCTGGCTCTTCTTCTCCCCTTCTCCTCCTCGGAAGCTGTGCACGGGGCTCCAAATGGAAAGTCCCAGAACCCGAATCACCACTGGGAGGAGAACTGCCTGAGTAGGAGCATCCACAGAGCACTGTACATGAAAGAGACATTGCTTTTTGTTGTGTTAATTCCTGAGATCTGAGTTTTATAGCAATTGACACCTAGGCAAGATAATCACACCTAAGATGTCTTGTTTCTGAGCTAATGTTCTCATGGCCTCCTCCATCAACTGAGTTCCTGCTTCTTTGTGGGTGCCCTGCTCAGCTCTGCACTGGCCAGGATGTGAGACTTTTTTCCCTTCAATTTTTACACACACACACACACACACACACACAGATGTAAAATCCCACTGGCAGACACATTACTGAAGATCGACGGGGTCCCTACTGCAGCAGGACCCCACCCCAGGGAAACCCCCTGGCCCTTGTCTTCACCTACTTCCCTCGATTTTTCTGGCCCCTCTTCCTCCATCTTCCCTTCTCCTCAACCCCAACTCAGCAGGAGGATCAATGACACCCTCTCATTTCACCCGGGGCAGCTCTCCTCTCATCTGATATCTTGCACCTGCTAGTACTCAGGCTCACCTTAGATGGGACTGCTCCCTTTCCCATGGGGCACAGAGGAAAACTGGAGGCTGTCGCAGGAGCTGGCCAGGCAAGGCCCTATGCTTCTCCACTGGCTGCCCATTAGAAACCCCCCAGGGAGTTTTCAAAAGATGCAGATGTCCCCGAGGTTCTGGGTAATCGGCGTGGGCAGTGCCCATCTCATCAGAGGATTACAGTGTGCGGCCCAGCAGAACTCCCTGCAGCAACACCTCCAAATCAGGCTTTGGGGCTCGACCCTGTACTCTTGGTCCTGAGGCTGGGTGGCAAGAAGAGGAGTCAGCCCCACCTTCTGATCCCGAGCCTACCAGGGCACTTTCCCAAATAAGGAGACGCCCCCTCCAGTAGAGGAACCCCCATGTCAGTTGCTAGTATTTCTCTGCTCACCTCATTATATCTGCTTCTGTGCCATTCTCCCTCTCTAGACCCTGCACTCCTCAAAGTCAGGGATGGGGTCTTAGGCTTCTGATGAAGTAGGTGCTCAGTTTGCGGAGCGATGGGGTAGAAGGGGGTCCCCAAGGATGGAACGCAGGCCTCACTGGGCCCCGCTCCAGAGAGACATCCCACACTGCAGAAGGGGCCTTGGGCTCATGCCCTGATCAGACCAGCGTTCCGCCCTGCAGCTCACATGGGAGCTGCGACCCCAATTCCCAATTCCGCTGCCAGCCCTGCTTCTCCCAGAGCAGGATTTCTCAGTGACAGCACCATTGACATTTTAGATCAAATCATTCTTTATCAGGGTGGGAGGGCTGTCCTGTACATCGTAGGACGTTTAGCGGCATCCCTGGCTTTCACCCACTAGATGTCCCCACTCGTGACAACCAAAATTGCCTCCAGGCATCGCCAAATGTCCCCTAGGCAGCAAGATCGCCCCTGATTGAGAACTACTATCCCAGAGGTTTGGGCATCCTCAGGAACAGCCCCTATCCTCGCCAAGCCCCTCACAGCACTCGGGAGACTAAAGCGAACTTACTCAGGTAAGGTGCTAAGCATCAGCACTGAACACATGTCAGACAGAGGAGCGCAAACAACTCTGGGACAGAGACTACCCCAGACATGGGACAGGAACCCGAAGTGAAGGGGTATGCCAGAGGTCACACGCCACTGAGCTGGGATCCAAACTCAGACCTGTTTGACTCCAAAACCTCCGGTCCTGTTCACCCAAGACACTGCCTCTCGTCATCAGGCACCGGGGAGATGCCACCTAGTCCCAAACTCCAGAAAGGTCTGCAGGCAGATGGCCCAGCCAAGGGCTGAAAGCCATAAAGCCTGAAAGACCACGTCCGGAGGTCAGGGTGGGCGTGACAAGGACTCCCATGACCGGGCGGAGAACCAGGGCTCTTGCTCTCTCTGGACTTCTCTGTCTCTGCATTTCCACACTCTCTGTATCTCCCCCTCGATCCTCGATCATGTGCCCCAGTGGGCAGGAGCTGTGTCTGTTTACCTCGGTTTCCCCAGAGCCAGGCAAACAGGGAGCCTCATGCACAGGAGTGCTGGAAAGTGTTTAA